AGAGTGATAACTAAATTGTAGTGACGAGGTAATTTATATAATTGGAGAATAAAAAACACAAGATTTCTAATTCAAAGAATTTTGCAGGTGTCCTTGGCCGGCAATGATCGCTTAACCATCAGGTGACCCGTTTGCTGGTTTGCTTCCTTGTTCCATTAAAATATATATGTAAATATTATATATATATATATATATATATATTATATATTATATATATTATATAATATATAATATTATATAAATCATACAACATGATTGTTCAATATGTTAAAATAATGAAAACATTTTTCCTCCTAAAATACCTACTCTAAACCAACATTCAATATTAGAGATTTTTTTTATTCTGAACGTGTTTTATACACTGTATCCAAAATCCGGGTGATGTAATCCGGGTAATTATGTATGAAATATGACGCCAACGGTTAGAAGGCTGGTGAATTATAGCTTTGACAAGGGCGTCGAAATGAAGAAGGGACTTGAAAGTGCTTTGGGACGTGCTGCTAGTAAAGTTATGGTGGCTACGGAGTGTCACGGCCATTGATATAAACAGATCAGGGTGGCACAGGGCCGCGACAACAACGACGTCATGTGTATTCCGCGACCGCACGCCACGACTTGTCAATGCGCAATAAACGTGCTAAGAACGGCAGCGACGCGTGCCCCGTTGTCGCTATGAGCTCTGATTTTGCGTATCTATATTTTTAAATCTTTCTACGCACCGTTCTTAGATTATGGTCGATAGGTTTCATTTTGAAGAATTTTATAGGTTTTATTGAGAAGGTTCTTGTAATGTATGCATGAAGCATCAATATGCAATGCCTACTTCATACAGCATGTCACGTATCGTTATGTATCGTTATATTATACAATTAAATGAGTAGACCGCTTCATACACTGTGGTAGGGTACGCAACAGCTTCGGCTGTTGCACCCATGGGCAGATACGTCCGGGTAAGTACCACGACGTCACAAAAGACCGGCGTGAAGAGGACGTGACAAACATCTGCGTTTCGCTGGTGATTGAGATAACCGGGACCCACTTTCTTATGGCAAATCATCTGTAATCCTACGGTCGTTGGAAATGTCCTTGGGCGGCGGCTGATTTGAAAATGAAGCAAAAGTAAAATATTATTGTTCAATATTTTACTGCGAAAAAAAAGATAAGAAGTAATAAAGTAATGTGACCAGTGACCTACGGAAACGAGAAGTGTCCTTCACTGCTGGCTGTATGAGGAAGCTCAAAGTCACTTAGCGAGCTATGGAGGTGGCCATGATCGGTATTTTCATCATGTTCATGTTTATTCTCTGCGTGATAGAGTTCGCAACAAAGACATCCGCAGTAGAATACAGGTAAAGGACATAGCTCAGAAGATTAGCAAGCTGAAGTGGCAATGAGCCGGCCATATAGCTCTTAGAACCGATGACCAATGGGGAAGAAAGGTTCTAAGTGACAGCCTCATACTGGCCATTGCAGTGTGGGACGACCGCACACTAGATGGAGTGACGACCTGTGTAAGTGTGCGGGAAGTCGATGGATGCAGGTGGCTCAGGATTGTACTTCGTGGCAATCTATGGGGGAAGCCTATGTTCAGCAGTGAACTCAAACAGGCTGAAATGATGATGATGATGTTGAAATTTATGATCGTCACAATGTCACTAGGAAATGTATTAAAAATTTTGTGAAATGCATTTTATTTTCATTAATATGCACCAATTGAAAATGATATAGTAAAATAGAGTATTTTTATTTACATATAACTTTTTCTGATTAACTATTGGAAATAAAGTATCTCTTTCCTTTCCTTTCAATTCACTGAAAATGTACTTTTATTGGAACAAACGATCTTAATAGGTTTATGATTGAAGAAGATGATAACGATTCGTCTTCTTAAAATTCGACTACATGACTTTTTCAACACTTGATATTTTAGGAGTAATACCATACCATAAACTTTCACTACATGCTGGGTTGACTGGTAGAGAATGCCTTTGAGCATTAAGTCCTCCCTTTGCTATCTTTTCTTCTCTTAAGGTTAGCAATAAAGCAAAAATTGTAAAAAACAAAAAATAAAAATAAAAAAATAATAATAATACTAATAAAATTAAATGCGCGTTAGTTAATATTCCATTTATGTGGTTAATTAATTTTTCAATTCATATTCATATTTCAAGCTCATGTCGACATTAATGTTCCTATTATTTTGTTATGTTAAGATGCATGTGTTGCTTGATACTGTCGCAACAATAATGTCTGTCGCATAAATACTGTAATATATGTTCAATAACTACGTTTTAAAACATCAGCTATTCTCACCTTGATCCATCTTGAATTGTCACTGTTTTTAATAAAATTTACGATATGTTACATACGGTATTAAAAATGTTGATTGAGTTCAGATCACAGGCCTATTTTATTATTTTACTTCACCAGAGGTTTAAAGGTAAAAATTTATTTGAAAGTTTCGTCTGCTGTAAAGGAGATAACAAGAGATGCGTCAAGCATTGCTTAAGATGCGAAAAAAATGATGTGAATGAAATACATTGAGATTTTCGGTTGGCAATCAGCTGTTAGCTTGTTAGAGGAACCTCATTACGAAACGGTGGTAGATTTAAAAAATGACTATCGATAAATGAAATGTATATTTCTTATTTCGATGAATAAATGATTTGAATTTGATTTGTTGCAGAGAGTCAATGAATCCGCAAGTCATGGGTTTCGATTCTCGCAGCGGCGAAAAACTTTTCATACCTTTTTCTGTAAATTTTAACTTAATGTTTAAGCATTTTAAATTATTTTGTTAAATTTAAAACGCAAAGGCAGGCATTTTTTACCAGTCATATTCGAGACTTGTTGAAAGATGGGGAGTATTAGCTATCTTTGTGAAGGTCGTTAGGATTTAGAGGCGTCGAGACTTATTTCTTCTTTTTAAGTTTCGTAAACCCAGTAAATGGATAAAGTTCATGGGCTATGGCATCAAGCTATTTTAACAATGTCAAAACATTTATGTTTTTATACAAATTGTTATAAGCAACAAATACAAATTTTAACTTCGGTACAGCTATAATAAATCACCTTTCACGAGCATCACTTACAGTAAAGGCCCATTTACGCAGTGCCAGTTTCTTGTCTGTTGTATACAATTAAATTGAAGCAATAAATGAGTTGCATGGTCTAAACAACAAATGGTCTAAAAAATTATTGCACGCAATTTATTGCATTCAATTATTGCTCTTGTATGTACATGAAAATGGCATCGTGTAAATGGGCCTTTAAGGAAGCATTTTATAACCTACAAATCTAAAGAATATTGACAAAAAAGGATTTCTTCAGGTCAAATACTTAGGAGTCACTTTCGACTCGCGTATGTCATTTACTACGCACATTAATAACGTTCGTAATAGAGCCGCGTTCGTCTCCGGCCGGCTACACAATTTAACTAACGCTAAAAGTAAAATGCCCTTAAGGCACAAATTATTATTATATAAGAGCTGCGTACGACCTATTATGTGCTACGCATGCATGATCTTCGCCCACTCGCACCCTACTCGCTTGTACAAGCTGCAAATAGTACAAAATAAGTTCATCCGCCGTGCAACCGGTGCGCAGTGGTATCAACGCAACGTCGATCTGCACAGCGATTGCAGACTCCCGACGATTCGCGAATATTTCAAAGATCTGACAAAACGGTTCTTCGATAGAGCCGAACATCATCCCAACTCTCTGGTGGTAAGCGCAGCAAATTACCAACCCAACACAAACGCGAACGTCAACAAGCGTCGCCCGCGAAACGTCCTCATCGACCCGGTCGAGGAAGGGGACTTAGATACGCCGGACCCATCGCCGGGGGTCCCGCCGGATAACACTACACCCACAGCTAGTGTAACAACGAACACAATAGTTCACCCTCGCCTCCGAGCACGGCGAGACCAACACAACGCGTACACAAGGTACACCCGCGTTCCAGGGCGGTTCTCACCGCCCGCAGCCACCGATTAGCTAAAAACACAGTCGACGGCCATCGGGGTCTCGGTCCGCACCGCAACTTCGATGGCCCTTAGATGACATGTCGTAGTTAAACGCACGCATGAGCACATGCGCGGCCCTACCCACAGTGGAGGGCCCAAACCCGTGGGTTCTGGCTAGCCCACCGGTTCTGCGTCAGATGAAGCTTTAATAGTCTCGGGACTGAAAGCAAAAACATCAGTTAATACAAGATACAAGATACAAGGATTTCTTCAAAGGTAGTCCCATACAAACTAAACTTTACTTTTACTTCATCCAGACGCGATTTGCTCTCACTATTTTTTTTTAACTTATTTGTTTCGAATAACTAATAACATACTCGTAGCTACGAGACAAATTAAACATTTGACGTCCTAACCTAATGTGACAGTTACTGCAGGCTTTAAAGTTTTAAAGTCCGAAGAATAGTTTTATATAAAAATATATATATTATTAACTCAATCTTGTTTTACATTATTAATATTCGCATATTTTACATTATTAAATAAAAGTGATTATTACAACGTATACGAAGTTAAAACAATTACTTTTTTACTACGAACATATGATAACAGAGTAATACGTGATTATTGTGAATAAGTCTGTTAAGTTTGCAGTGTTGTTATTATTTAAGCGACGTTAGTGTTACTGCCCTGGCAGCTGGGACAGCCGGTCCTCCCTGACATTCGAAAAACTTGATGTTCAACAGTTGGCAAGTGGAATTCGCAACCGACGGCCGACTCACTTGGCTATACTGTGTGCACCGTACAGATGATGCCTTTACAATAGTTCCGAATTTCAAACATACATAAGTTATTAACTTCGCACTGTGATGTATGTTTATTGCCTCTCTCATAAAATGGGCTAGTTTTCCAGGTTATATAACCTTACACTCTCGTACTCTACGTTTAAAAGGATTCCCTAAAATAGCAGACGTTGCATTTTATAAGTATTCATTATGCAAATGTGTCATTTGAACGATGTATTTTTTGTTTCAGCCAAAATGGAGATACTCAATCGGCTAGTGGCGGGATATCACGACCTGATGGACAACAAGAGCGATCAAAGGGTGAAGGATTGGTTCTTAATGTCTTCGCCGTTTCCCACACTGGGGATATGCCTGACATACGTTTTCATAGTCAAAGTAAGTCGAACATTTGAACAGATAAAATAAACAAACGTTATAAAAGTACATGATACATGCTGAGAGTAGTTTTGCCGTTTTATTTTTTACTTTGCCGTCACCGTAAATTGCTTATTTTATGGTAGGCCGAGAAGTTCAAGAACATTATGTTATGAGTGAGCAACATTGCGAGTATGTTCATTCCAGTTGGTCACTAATTGCGACAATTTGCAGATACTGGGTCCGAAGCTTATGGAGAACAGAAAACCATTCGAGCTCAAAAATGTACTACTATGGTACAACCTGTTCCAAGTTATTTTTAGCTGTTGGCTCTTTTATGAGGTAATTATTAACTTAGTAACTTATATTAAATAGTAACTTCATATTAGACATAATAATTTAGAATATCGGTATAAACTATAATAGAGATCTGCTGTTGTGCGCGAATCACGGGTGATTTAAATTAACGTAAAGTAATTGGACTTTTAAGAATCAACGTTTTATATAAGCAATACGGCTTTTGTGAAGCGTATTCTTTTGAAATATAACAAATATTGTAAAATGGAACTGTTCCTCTTTATTAGGAGTTCCAAAAATTTGGCGATGGCATTCGCCTTTATTTTGCGGATACCTTTCTATAACCATTCTAATGTTCAAAGAATTACTATATTTGTCCTTATCAAACTAAATACTTCAGTTTACCGAAGAGTTTTATGCTCCTAATAATTACTTATATATATATATATATATATATATATCCGGCTGGGTCGCTAATTACATATAAAACCTTTTTGTTCCGTTTCTCAGAGCATAGTCAGTGGGTGGTTTACCACGTACAGCTTCCGCTGTCAACCTGTCGACTATTCGCGGTCCCCAGATGTGATGCGAGTAAGTACTTTCATTGTTATTATTTATAACATTATTTTTTATGTGAGAAGGTGACAAGCGAGCTGGCAGTTCACATGATGCTAAGTTATAACCGCACTGATGCTTTGCCACAGCAATAAAGTGAGCCCCGGCTGCCTCACTCACCAGACAAAGGCAGAGTATAGTACTTCAACTTCACGTTTTCTGTGCGGTCATGGTACTCACCTGGACGAAACTTCCCTTAAGACTGTGGCGTCAATATTGCCCAGCACCTACCTCGCTTAAAATTCTTCATCTTAATAATCAAATTATCACACAACAAAGTATTTTTGAAATATGTTTTAGTTCACGTGAACATTAAGCGTTGGCAATAAAATATAATTATGGAAAATTACTAAGTTCATTCAAGTCAAGCGATTATTCGACATTAAATAAGATATTTTACGTAGATCAAAAATCAACACATTGAAAACTGCTTTCAAGTTTACTTTTCATACAAATTAATGATATGTCAAAAAAAAAAACCTTTTTACGCACTTGTCTTTAAATTCTTCCCGATTTCATTATTAAAATACTCACTTTTAAGGCCCATTTACACGATGCCATTTTCTTGTACATACAAGAGCAATAATTGAATGCAATAAATTGCGCACAATAATTGTTTAGACCATTTGTTGTTTAGACCATGCAACTCATTTATTGCTTCAATTTAATTGTATACAACAGGCAAGAAACTGGCACCATGTAAATGGGCCTTAATGTTTCAGCCGAAAACCTTTTCGTGTTTGGCTCGCTTTTTTCATTCCTACTAATTTAAAATTTTTGGAATACTTTATTATTATACCTGGTACATTAACTTTCTTAGTAGTGTTAACTTTATTGCGTTAATATTTACATGCATTTTTTTTGTAGACAGTAAATGGATGCTGGTGGTACTACTTCTCAAAATTCACCGAATTCTTCGATACGGTAAGTAAAAGTGGAGGTTTGATAAAAGGGAGTTCCAGGTCCCATGTTACAAGCCTAAATGCGTTACATTTTTAGCTGAATAAGAGCAATATTAATCATGTCATTTTTAATCATACCGATCCACAAGGAGGTTTGACGACAGGCAGGTGGCCGGTGCTTAAAAACACATGTTGTACCGACCCATTACCTAGGTGGGATAAGGGAAGGAGGATGATGATTTAAGCATAGCAATATTCTTTTAAATTATCAAAAACTTGATAGCAATTGTTGCGTATTCCGCAGAAGTAAGCATTATAAAAGATTTCTTATTTTCATTTGTTTTTTTTGTGTAATAAAGATCATATCGTACTCTCAAAATATACCACTTTATCATGATTATATTCAGCAATACATGTTCAGCGATTTAAAATGAGGGAAGAAACATCTAGAACACTCTCTTAGATTTTAAATGTTAAAATCGAACGCAGTTTAAACTACCGATTGTTATGAGTTGTGGTGTTTGTTTTAGGAAAAGCATATTTAGATAAATAATAATACACATTTATGTCTGTATGTTTGTATGTATGCATTTATTTACTGATGATGCCAAGATGGAAGTGTTATAATTTATTCTATCATTTATCATTTCAATTAACAAGCTTAAACGAGAGATTTAACAGGGCGCGAAAATAATAAAAGTTTTAATGTCTCTAAACATTTACATTTATCTTAAGTCTTACGCCCGGTTTCTGGAAAACTGATCATCGTAGAAGTTAACTAATCAGCTGTCAAATGGCTTTTCAAATGTTATCTGAGTTGCCAAAAGGATAGTTGAGCCCTCTGAATTGATCAGAATGATCTTTTTAATAATGAGAATGATCAAATCATTGATGATCAGTGTTTCAGAAACCGGGCGTTAGTATTCTATCGCAGTAGTCTCATATATAAAATGAAGTGTTCTGTCGTGATCAAATATTTGGACAACATAAGAGTAAGTGACGAGCACCTACTGCGTGCTAAATACTTTAACATGACATCTCATTAAATAGATAGAGGCGCTTTGAAATGGATTATCCGTTATTTAACTATTGTTTATAGTACCACTATAAATATAATTACTATTATAATAAAATAAATTAAAGTATATTATACCAAGCTATCTACGATAATGAGACAGGGTGAACATAATAATTTTATAGTTTTATGTATACTAGCTGACCCGGCAAACGTTGTTTTGACATATAAATAAAAGAAATGTTCCAAATGTATTCTCATACCTGCTGAATATACCTACATATAAAATTTCATCAAAATCGTTCAAGCCGTTTCGTTTATCAAACAGAAACACTGATCAGGACCTACACAGTAAACATTGCGAAATATTTTGTCTTTGGCAAAGTCGAATACATTTCCTATAGCGGTGTACCAAAATAAGAGAAGCCACGGTCAGTTAAAACACGAGAAGCCGTAATATCGCCTACACTTGACCTTTTCATTGCAATAACGCCCGTTTCCGTGACCAAGATGACTGGGCACAAAGAAAATTTACATTAATTATTTTTCCTCTAACTGTGAATAATAATAAAAAAATATCGTTTCATAAATTTGTCCAAACACAACAAACCATAGAGACACATATTCATATTTTTTTACATATTCATTCATTCAGATTTCCAATGTACGAATGTGAAACAATGGTTCTTTAACGCTCCTTCCATAGATCTGTACAAGCACAAAATGAATTTTTGTTTAAATTTAACGTACATAAAAAATATAACAAAATTTGGCGATGTTCTTCATGTTTTTAACTGTGCTAGAGCCACGCAGCAGGCTCGGCTGTTGCACGAATGGGCATGCTCGTCCGGGTAGGTACCACGACCTCACAGAAACCGGCGTTAAGTGGAAGTATAATTAATTTCGCGTTTCGTCTGGTGAGTGAGGTAGCCGGAGCCCAATATTCAAAAGGTTGTCAAGGCATCTGCAACCCTCGGGTATAGCTGATGTCCATGGGTGGCGGTATTCACTTAACATCAGGTGAACCGCCTGCTCGTTTGGGAACTTTTCACATAAAAAAAATGTTCAGAAGGAGTCTATACCCCAAGATTCTTGAGGATTTTATCTTGATTTGTACTAGAAAGTTATTATATTTAATTATTTATTTATTATTTATCCTATAAATAAATGTGTTTACCTTATCTTATAACTGCATATTTATTTAATGTAACTTACGTTTTTTTTTCATGTCCACACTTTAATACAGCATTATCTGTTTCAGATCTTCTTTGTAATGCGAAAGAAGTTCGATCATGTGTCAAAGCTACATGTCATTCACCACGGTATCATGCCGATGTCCGTATGGTTCGGTGTCAAGTTCACACCAGGTACATATCATAGAGAATGTAATCAGTACGTTTACATATAATGGGTACAAATAACAAAAACAAATATTCACTTATTACAGATACATAAATAACTACTAACTATAATTTAACTGAAGCTATAGGAGTAATATTGTCTCTGACAGTGTCATTAAGATATGTGATCTTGACCTTATTACTTTAGTCAACGACCGTATCTCACGTAATGCCATTTTAAACGAATAAAAATCATTCAAAGAAAATAAACCTACTTCAATAACACAAGGTATATGACATACAATTCAGCAGCGAATATTTTTGGCCACGTTTTTATTCGTATGGTAGCGAATTTTCTAGAAATATTTTATTTGATAGCGGCTGTTTTAATTTAAGAAAACAATTATAATAAATAGCACGCTAATAAGCCATATCCTTAGTTAGAGTATACTTGATGCATTAAGAATGGACAGTGTAGTTTTTAAATCGTATTAATAACACATTTATATTTTATTTTTTAATAGGAAAATACGATTAGGATTATATGCATGTGACGAATGGATAATCTTTTGCTAAGACTTTATTGTAGATATCCGCCTGACATTTATCGTCATTTTTTCAATGTTTACCTGGATATCACGCAGAGACCGACGAAATATTTACTTTGACATCGTCGCTATGGCACGTGAGAGTCAGAGTCCAACTTATGACCGTGATTACACATATATGTTCCACAGGACATTACTATTATGTTCCTAAAGATTTCCCCATATTCCGGAAAAAACGTCAGAAGCCATAAAATAGCACAAATACAAAAAATAGTTTATAATTTAAGGGCATAGGAAAGATGTCGGTAATTTAATATTATATTTAATTTTTATTTCGAAGTAAAAATTAAAAAGTTGCCTTTTTAATTCACAAGGTCAGGCGTGTCCGTAAAAATTGTATTTCTTAACTACACAATTGAAATAGTAAGGAAATTAAGTTAATAGTAAGGAATAGTACGGCGATAATATTTTTTGGACTTGTGTAATTTATATTAGACTACAATTCCTAGGTGTTCTTCAGCAGCTTTAAATAATTTCGATATTTAAGTATAGCTACTTGCCGAATAAACCGGCAAAGTGTAGACGTCAAACGAAAGGAGCGCCTTTGAATCGTAGTACATGAGGTCAATGCACCGCATTCGTAATGTTTCTAGTTTTCAGTATAAAAAATCGATCTTACTTTAGTGCTAAAACCGTTAAATGAACATTCACTTTACTATAATCCAAGACGTACCGTTCTCCCGACCTTCTAATAAACAGGTAAAATAGTTTTAAGTCGATTTTTAAACGTTTAAATCTATTTTTTAAACCAATACAAATCAAGGTTATATCGGTGGAAAATCCTTAATGACATTCAGGAAACAAAATATAATAAGTTAAAGCGTAGGCATAAAGTTGTTATAATTTAAAAGTCGTGTCACAATCACACTTCCTTTTTAATAGCAACTTAAATTCAGTCTTGCGTCTTTATTTGAATTTTAATATGACCATTCTTTTTATATGGGTAGAATAAGCATTAATTGAAGTTTAGTAATTGTTAGGTATAGAGCGGTTGAAATTAATTTTTGAAATCTTTCGAAAACAAATTAAGAAATAGAGCTAGGTAAATTTTTTATCATCTCCCTCAATTAGTCGCGGAACCGTGAATGTTGGAAATTTTAATCGCCAATTCAAATTTTTGTAATATACATTTTTGTTTTTTGTTACAAAAAATTTAATTCGTGATTAAAATCTTTAAAAGATAGTTTTATTATAGTAGTATAAAGATAATGTTGGATAAATAATATACATATAGTAACGGGAATGATACTTTCATATAGTTCATTTATTTAAACAAATGAATTTCTGTGAATATGTTGAAGATAAATATAAAATTTTTAATGAATGAATCTATAATGAATTGAGGCAAATCTTTTATGCCTAATTAGGTGTATTGTTAATTTCTAACATCGTTTGTAAACAGGGGGCCACTCCACCTTCTTTGGCATGCTAAACACGTTCGTACACATCATTATGTACTCGTATTACATGCTCGCCGCTCTTGGGCCACAAGTACAGAAATATCTCTGGTGGAAGAAATACCTCACTGCCCTGCAAATGGTAAGTTTCTTAATGTTCTTATATCACTCCTTTACTCCTCGATTTTGATGTAAATAGTAGCAACATGTTATAAAATGTCAAGTAATGAAACGGTGTTCAAACATTCAAGAAAGGATTGTTTTTCATAAGATGTTTAGAAAATAAGGAAAAATTCTTCACTAGAAAACCCCCGTTGCACCTGTCCGTCCCATCGCCCGCGGAAACTGTCATGGACTGCGGTGATCGCTTATCACCAGGTGACCCACATGCTCGTTTGCCTCCTATTCGCAAAAAAAAAAAAAAAAAAAAAAAAAAAAAACGGGAACACGTAGACGAAATCTTCCGCGAAACTTTGCTATAATACCCAAAATTAAGACATCGTAAACTATTTACATATCTTTTCCAATCTCTACAACTAAAAGTGGTTGGTTTCGTGGATATACAGGTACGGTCGTATAAATATGACCTCAAGCAAAACTTTATGTGACGCCTGACAGAAATCAAACCCATTGATTTGCACGCCTCTTATTTTAACCTCGCGTTTGCATATCTCGTTTTTATCAACGCAGACTCATTTTAGATACGATGAAATAGTTTTTACATTAATTTGAATAGATCTTAACACGGCGGGTACCTTGAACGAAGTTTGAATATTTTACGTCAATAGATAATCAGGCGAGTCAGATTTTGTATTGTTTTTTGATGATTTTTTTCCAGATTCAGTTTGTCTTGGTGTTCTTCCACGCATTCCAGCTTCTCTTCATCGACTGCGACTACCCACGGGCTTTCGTTTGGTGGATCGGAATGCACGCCGTCCTCTTCTATTATCTCTTCTCTGACTTCTACAAACAGGCTTACCTCAAGAAGTCTAAGGTATGAACAAGCAAAAATCCTACGTTATTATTTTACGTTTATTATTTTAATTTTAAGAAAATACTTTACCTTTAGTATTAGGAATTATTCTTTATTAATGGATTAACAAGACAATAAACACAGTAAAAATTGTTCTTTGGCAAACATAGCGTAATTATTTATTTTTCACGTGACAAATTAATTTAATCTCGTATTACTATTCATTGAATTCATCGAAGCAAGATATAGTATTCATGTCGTAATAGAAAACGAAGGCAAGCTGGGTGATAAACAACAATTATTTCCGCAGAACGCCAAGGCCAAAGTGAAGGTGGAGGCGGACTCTTACAAGTCAGAGTCAAAGGAACGAAAGCTACCCTTGCTGAACGGATTCAGTACTGGGTCCTCCCTGAACGACGTGCGGCAGAGGATGGCCGGCGCGGTAGCCTCGCAGTGAACGCTAGGCACCCCCGGAACTGTACATATAAGTGGATATATTTGAACTGTGATGAACTCTAGCCAACGCGATCTACTCGCGTCGGCGCCAAAGCCAACTTGACCCATAAAATCAGCGAACCTCGGCAGGGTCGCGGCTCAATTTTTTGACAGTGCGAAAGATTTGCGCTAAGGACTAAAATAGGCTGAACTTTATCTTTACATTGGAGAACGAAACTCAATTAGTGACGAAGTTCTTTATCTTAATTAGTTGTAATTTAGTGATGTTTTTTAATAGGAAAAGCGACTATCGCATTTTTAAAGGGAGACACTTGTTTTAGTAAAATTACGCATGTTACATTGTATGAGATACTCGTTTTGTTTACCTGGCTTCTTTGGTACAATTGTTTCTTTGGGGCAACTTAACTTATAAAATTAAATGATTACATGATAATTATTAGTAACTTAAGTTTAAAAAGATTTTAAAAGATACCTTAAAAATGCACTAGTCGCTTTTTCGCACTTAGTTTAGTTACTCCGATTTACCGTCTATCTGGAGGAACTAGTTTTATATCAATTATCAATTTTGACATGGTATAAGCGTTGTTTGATAGACCTTCTAACGCCAGGATCGAATCAATATTTCTAGCTTCAGTGTATTAAGTGGAGATTGCCTGCATTTTTTTTTCTTTTTTATTTATATAAATGTAAATTTACTTGGCCAAATCCCTAAGAATACTAAAAAAAAATTACTAATTTTATATGTTGTAAAATTAGAAATATGTTTTTAGAAAATATACTGAATATTAAAATAACATGTGAGCAAAAAATAGAACAAAAATTGTAAGCCCCACCGGTTGCTATATATATTTTTTTTAATGACGACCATAGGAAACAGTTACATTTTTGTTCGAATTTGAAACGTTATAGACAAAATTAAACAGAGCCAAAGTTAGACATGTTATATATCTGTACGTAAGTTTTCGTTATTTTTAATGGAATAAATAAAAAAAAAATAAACTGAATTTTCTGGTTAGATCATAAAGTTTATTTCCCATATATATGGTATTGTTTGGGCTTGAACAATAAGGTGTATAAAATATTTGAAAGAAATAAGCCGCTGCATTAATGAGTTAAATTTGATTTTAAATATTTTAAATAACCCAATTCATTTTCACATTTATTAGTAAAATCAGTAAAATAATTTTAAAAAATTATTAACCTCTTCTTCGGCGGTCGAGTAATAATGAACAAAAGTGATATCGGCACAATATATTTAATTTTAATAAAAAGGTATAAAAATTTAATATTCCTCTTTAAATTTTTCTACCTTGTAAGTATGTTTAGTACATTACTATTGATTATTTGCATTGTACGTAATTAAAATGTTATTATTATTATTGGGTAAAAGTACGATAAACAGAGACTGTTGCGGTTATATCCTAAACATGTACGTAAAGTGAATACGGATCTGTAATATATATGTAATTTAGTACTTGCAATACAATTGAAAATAAACTTTAAAATCTACGTTTGATTTTATTTACACGGGAACGATTGCCTCTTAATGTGTCTGAAGAAAAAGGCTTGGGGAACGTTTTTGCGCAAGAAACCGGCTGAGCTATGCCCTCTATCTCCATTTTTATTTCGCATTTAGTAACATAGTAAAAGCACTTGAATTTCCGGAGTTCGATAAAACCGGAGAATGCCTATTACATTGTGAAACATCTCTATGCAATAAGTCTGTTTTGCAATTTAATACCAACCATCATAATAAATAAAGTACAATTAGGAATTCCACTAAATATTATACATAGTTTTGGTTCCTTAAATGTCATCCTTTACGAAATATGGGCAATCGGTGCTTGTGATTAAGTGAAATTATGTCAAAGTAATATTTTTGTAAATAAATATGTAACAAAAAAATTGGTTTAAAGAAGCTGGACCGACCACATAATGAGGGTCGCGGGTTCAAAAGTGGACGTCTACTGGCTGATGACGATGATGTTGGTATCAAATACCAAGCATAGCCAATTGTTCAACAGATTGACTTTAAAGTATCTTTTATTTTTGTTTGAATACCTTCTTCTCTTATATAATCAGTCATACTTATTATGAACGCATCATTAAAATTAATGTCTCTGCTAAAAAAATGATATGAGTCCAACATGATAATCCCAATATTTTTCTTACTTAATATATAAAAACTAATACAAAACAATATGAGTTATGACAAGTCAAGTATTAATTCGTTACTTAATCCTTTTCAAATCAATGCAGGAAGTATACATGTACATTCCGCCAGAACACTTACCATAGCAATTCGCAGTCCGTGACCCTGCTTAATAACATAGCTTGTTTACTATTAACTTGGGTAACTTGTTGTATGCCATTCAATAGTGGAATAGTCAATTAGCTTAATTGGTCATTAAATTTCTCGCAATGTTATTCATTCCGTGACGTAGATTGAAAAATACGGTAATTGCATTTAGGAATTAAAAATAGACGTTACATATATACTAAATAAGATATAAAATACAATGGCCACAAGATTAAGCAATGATTAAATACAGTTTAATAGGCAATTGCTATTGAACTTTAATTGAGGCGCTGTTTAAAAGCACGTAGTACGTATTCCTAATTAATACGTATGTGGGTGTAAACCATAAATCATGTTAATAATAGGCTTATTGATGTCATTATGATAGATAGTACATATATGAACGTATGTATGTAATAGATTCACCATGCATAACATGATTCTTATTTAAAACTTCCTTAATCTGTATTCTGTTTATTTCCATCACCGTTCAATACAGATTTTGTATCGGTTATGCGTGTTTTTCTAGTTAGTTCCGTTAATACTGTTAGAAGCAATAGAAATGAGTCACGCTGAATGCCGGCATGATCGTAATTAATCGTTTTTTATAACAGTATAGGAAGGAATACGGTAGTAATACTCATTTATATTATTTAGAAGTTCATTAATTCTTCAAGGTTTATAGCTTATTTTGGGGCTAAATATATTTATGTTTTAAATTAACAATTAGAATTTAACTATGAGTAAGTATGCTTCCTACGAATCGATGGATGCCTAAATCATAAATTTCTTCCGACTTTTTCGGATATTTTTTAGTTCATTGCAGATATTATTTTAAGAATATTTTTTTGAAGCATCAATTACACAAGTACCATGTACCAAATTTACATTTTTCAAAAGGTATGGAATATGAAATATGGACATAATATATAACAAATCCCAAAATTTAATGAGATTGCATTGTAAATAAATCTGTTTTTTATAAATACATATCATTATGATAAGTCAGTCAAGTAAAAGTAATAAGAAAACTAAAAAAAAAAAAAGATTTCAGATATGTATTTATATATAAATATATATACTTCGATAACCCCGTGGCGCAGTTACCAAGGTATTGGATTAATATGTTTTATTAGTATTGCAATAATTAATGGTGCAGAGAAAATAAGTAAGGCAGGTCAGTACTGGCTCGCTTTCCACAAGGAAAAGAAAAATTTGAATGCTAAGAGAGGCGATTGCTTTTCGAACCCCTCGGAAATTATTTAAATGTTTTAAATTTTAGAAAGTCAAATAAATGAATGTAAAGAGATTGGCTGTTTTGAATTGAACAGTGTTATGAATCTTCTCTAATGAAAAAATGTTTATTTCAGTAGCATTACGAATCATCTTTCGTAAGTAACGATTTGTGATTTATCTAATCTGAAGTAATGATACCACGACGCCTGACATTACAACCCAGCCCGTGACCACGTCGAGTGTTTGAAAATTAGAAGAAATCACACCTGATAGTTCATCATCATTTCACTTAATATTTGATTGAGCTCTAACGCTTTTTCATAAGGACTATGATTTATTCCTGCGTAGTGTACAACACAGTAGTTCTTCATAAATTTATGTTCTTTAGAAGAGTTATCAATTGGAAGAGGAGAGAGACGCGAATGGGTCTGTTTTACTACTTTGGCTAACTCTACTATAAATATCATCATGATACTTTTCTTTTTGTTTAAAAACATTGCTCTTACTTTAGGATAGATTATCCTGTGTTGTAAGTACGTTTTACAAACATAAAGACGTGGACTAAGCTTTTTAAATATCATCACAATTTGTATTAATTGTAATTAAATTATAATTCCCATTGAATGGAATGAAAGGGAACGCACCACTTTTTATTTTTGCATGAATTGGCAGGCAGGTCCAGTGAAGTACTACAGCTGCACAGAAGTCTGGCTTGACGTGGGAATTGTAATACTTCCTCCTTTCGTCTGAAGAATGAGGTATCCGGAGCTCACTTTTTTAAATGGTAGTTGGTACCATCATCAACCCCATGAATGTTTCAACTGTCCACGGGCAGCGGCTATAATTGCAATTGTTATCACATAAATCCGGTGGGAACTAGCTTATCCCTTTCGCTAAAGTGTTTATTCTTAGTCAACTAAAGATTAATTAATCGTTAATTACAGTAAATACTGAACTTACTTAACTATAGCTCTATTTAATAACTATAATAAATATTAACGTAACAGTCTAACTAAATTCCAGGTCGTTGACTGTTCATCGACTTTCAGTTACCATATTATATATGCCAATATATGCCAATAGACAAAAATTTGAATGACCACAAACAAGTGGCCTTTGTCGGCCGAGATTAGGTACGTATTTACAAATCATTGATATTTTTTCAATTTTATATCACGAATTCGTCATAAATCAGTCACTTAAAATTGCAAGAAAAATTTCAATTGGAGCCGGCAATGAAAGTTCAATGAATTTCCAAGGCTTTATAAGGTAATTTCGTACCATGACCATGCTACATAAGAGATTATTATTAGCGTTGTTACACACAACCACAACGAGTTTACGAGTCGTGAAAAATACTTTAAATACAAATTATAGAGATCATATACGTCCTTTTAAAAGAAATGTGAGCAAAGCCTATTTTCATATCACCACTTATACATTAACTGATAGAAAATTTGAATGAAATATGATGAAATACATAATTTGAATTCATCAGTAGATGTTGCTTATTGACATCTAGTGTTACTTTTTACTACAGCAAAGGTTGTCTTAATTTTGCTACTCGACGCTAGGTGTCACTAAATTTATTTGCAGATTTCTAGCGAAAATGTTATTGATTAGTCCCATTAAACTATGTACAATAAACTTTTTAGCTTAAATCGTTACAGTGTTGGATTTTTTCCAGGTTACGGAAAGAATGTTAATAGCTTGCAAAGTTTGTTGAAAATGACATCTGTATATTACGAGAGCGTGCACTCGTAATGTATTAGTATAACAATAATTACTATGTAGAACTTGAGTAACTCCAAGTTATAAAAAGTAAGTATTAGTAAGTTGAACTCAATTGGCGATCTAAATTAAAGTATTTTGTATGTTATTTAAACCATTTTTCATTCCAATGAAAAAAACATGGCACAACATTCTGACCAGCCTTTTCATTTAACTCGTTGGTGGGTTTTTACAGTCTCTCTCTCTCTCTCTCTCTCTCTCTCGATGTTTAAATAAGTACCTCTATCTCAAGAAGGAATCTTTAATTTTTACGTCGATATAACACAATGAAACTACCAATCGCAACTGCAGGACACCTGAGGACACCTATTGCATTGATTTTAATCTTAATTGAATAAATTATTATTTATCATTTTATTTCTGTTTTTTTAATACTTTTCTGTTTAATGAAAAATTGTTATTTACCTGGAAAACCTTTACGTTATGCATTTTTCTTTCATTATCGAAATATACTTTTGAGTATGCGTCAGCGTACTCATTCAGTAAAATAACAAAAGCATTAAAAGACTGCCCTGTTTTAACAACGTTATTGTCCCCTAACCATTTTCATTGCTCTCACGTCTCACGCATTAAGGTAAATATTACAAAACTCCATTGTCTTTTTAAGAGAACTTTATTTACAATTATTTATTTTACAATACGTCGTTACAACTTATTCGTTTGCGCCTAATACTAACATAAGAATAGAATAAAATTTTCTCAACTGCCAATTTAGTAAGAAATTCTGATTATTGTATCATCCATTAATAATGTTACTGTATTATATATAAAAATTAACTTAAATAAGGAATTAGAAATATTTATAATAAAATATCACAAAATAATTTAGGGTAACTTTAACGCGAATAAGCCTCAACAGATATTAAATAGAGCTGGCAACTTTCAGTCTAAGTCGAATGTGTAATTTATACCAAAATCGTGGTGAATTATTTACAAATTAATTGTACTTTGTGTTATTTTATCTTACACCTAAATTTGTGACTATTTAAGTGTGTATAATTTAAATTTTTGAGTGCTAATTTATGTATTTAATTATTGTAGTATTTTTGCTTTTCAGTTCTATCAGAAGAGCTGAAAGGAAACGTTCTTTAAATCTAAGAAAATATAATTCAAAAAGAAGTATTTAAATGTAAAACCATAAACATACATGCACTGGATGCTCTCAAATTTGATATCTTAAAAACGATTTAAACGAAGCTACTAAAATGGCAATGCGTACAACCCTTACGTTTTAGTGTTAGTTCTACCAAATTCTTCTATGTGGTCATATTCCGAGAAGCCGTTATCAGAATCGTAGTATGCGTAATCGTAGCTTGTGTCTTCCTTGTTGTTCACTGGTTTTGCATGGTGCTGTGGCCGAGGCTTCGCATTAGGAGCGGGCGAGGATGGAACTGGTGGTGGAGTTTCACGACTTTGACTCCGCTGCGGTTCGTACACCCTTGGTGCAGATGTGCTGGTGATTCTCACTGGAACAATCTCGTGCGCATTATTTCCAGCTCCGGAAGATTCAAGAGGCCTCGAGGTAGTCGTGTACGTCTGGTAGTAGTCGAAGGTCCGCTTAGTGTTATCCGAAACGGGCTTAGTCGTTTCCGGATAAGTTACTTCCGGTGCGCGCGTTGAGTGCGTGGGTGCCAGTGGAGTCGGGGCCGGTCTAAAAGGCCGCGGCCGTGAGGTTTTAGCAGCGGGTTTTCGCGCGGCTTGGTTTTTACTTTGCTCCTTTTGATCCTCGATGAGCCTGTTGCCACTGGCTGCAATGTTGAGAGAGTGAGCACCAGAAAGAAGTTCACGCTCATAAAGCTCTGGTCTGTATTGTCCATCGTCCTCGCCCTCCGGTGGGCGGTATTGTCCATCATCTTCGCCGCTGTCCGCAAAGTTGGATGTTTGGGCGAATGCATTGTTCGTGTTGTATGCTATCGTGTTGAGGCTCTGAGGTGGTTCGTATCGTGAAGTCGTTGTGTACGTGGTCGTGGTAGGCGCAAATGTAGTGGTGGGATTGTTGTAGTAATTTTGCTTCGAACTGGAAAATTGATTGTAACTGTTTTTTTCTTGTTCATAGGAGATGCTATTAGCATTTTTGTAAGCCGGTGTTGTAGAGATATAACGTATTGTGGTTGTATAGTCTTTAGTATTTTGAATACCTCTTTCACCGTTATTATTGTATATCTGGGTTCGTAAGAAATCATTTTCTACGGGCACGTCTTGGGCTACGCTGAAACTGTTACGAAGTTTGAAAGGACGGTTTTCGTTTTGTCCGTTGAATCCCGGCGTGGACTGTGCATCGTAATTATATATCTCAGCGAGACCATTTTTCTTATATGGTTGCTCTGTCGAAGGCGGTACAAACGGAGTGGGGGACGGGCTATTAGGGTAATATCTATTCGGTTTCGGTGTCACACGACTTACTTCCACGTACTCATCTTTGTACTGCGGAGGTATACTTGGTGTCGAGATAGTATTCTGCGTATTTTGCAAAGGGATCCTCCGATTGAAATTCTGTGGTGGTTCAGAATACACCTGTGGTATAAGTGTGTTTGGTGCCAACGTTTGTGGCGCTGGCGAGGTTGTGTAGATAGGACGCTTCCTGGCTAGTTTTCGCTTCGGCGCTTGATCGTAGCGATTGGGCTTTGAGGATGTGGATGAATACGATGAAGATGGCGGGTTGTATGTCGTGTACTGTACAGTAGTGGTTGTAGGGCGAGCAGTGGCGATTCGTCTGAAAGATTGTCTAGAAGAAGACGCGGGCGCTGGTTGCTGGGCTTGGGGCGCGGACGGCCCTGTGTCGTCACGGCCGCGATCTCTCTGACCGCTGAAAAAGTCTGAGGAGTGTGCGGCCCGAAGGTCGGACGCCCCCGAGCTTGATGCGCCGTTGTTTTGCGACAAACGGCGATCGCCTGTCTCGGCTCGCTGCAAACCGAATTCCGCCTCGTCATCGCGGTTATTGGATGACAATTTCTTGGTGTCGAAACCTGAAAGACAAATTAAAGTTTAAACTTTCGAATGGAGTAAAGTGCTTTTTCTCTTCCAATTTCAAGCCCTGCGTAGATTGTGTCAATCGCGGCGTTTCGTTTTAGAAGCAGAACATAGTTCAAGCATTTAAATAAAGCTCTGCTATTAACCAACAGTTTTCCAATAAAGTTACATATTATGCCAAATTGTTATATAAAATCCATTGTCTTCAAGCGTCTATTGAGAAATAAAAATATCATTGTTACAATATTAAGCATGAAGTAATGCTCCAGCAGTTCTAACTTTACGTTGGATGTTTTAAATATCCACAGCGTACGCGGACATTCGTGTGCCACATTTAAAATGTTAAATTTGTTTTAAGCGTTCGCGTCCCGTATAAATTTATACCAGCGTTCGCTTCACCTACTAATGTATCTAAGAAATTCACCTGATGTCTATTCAAACACGCAAAATTTCTTCAGCTCTGCGCTGTAAGAGAAGCTGTAGAAACGGTGTTAGTTGCAAAGCGCTCACCGGATCCGATCTTGTAGAGATCGAACTGACCGTCGTAGATGTCGGCCGGGCAGGCGAGGGGGTCGTCATCGCCCCAGTCGGTGCACGTCTGCGCCTCCTGGTGGAAAAGGGTACCGGGTGGACAGTAGAACCGGAAGTCCCTGATGCCGCCGCCGGCGACCCGCACGCACACGTGGAACGCCTTGCAGCCGGATTTCGCATCGGCGTAGTACGCCCCTAAGATGCGACCGCGGCAGTTGAATCTCTCGGCTGCCCCTGTACACCGAAACGGGATATTCAATTATTCAATATGTAAAATAAAAGAGTCGCACAAAGTTCGGAGAGAAATGTTTGTCTTGAATATGAGTAATTTTAAAATAGATTAATTTTCGCTGTGGTCGGGCGATGTAACAGTCTTCAATATTGCACGAATTGAAAGGTTCGTCTGGGGAAGTACCACAGAAGACCGGCGAGAAGAGGAAGTGAGTTATCACACACACAAAAATATCTGTTCTGCTGTGTGATGTATGAAGGTGATGTGAGAAGTTGGCAAGCAAGCTGGCGGTTGATATGATGTTAAGAATGATAAGTGTCATTTGCAACACACGTAGGGTTGCAGATGCATTGCCACCTTTCAATAAAGTGTACCCCAGCTACCACTCTCAGCAGACGATACGCTGAAGTATACCTAACACTTCCATTTCACGTTGGTCTTCTGTGAGATCGTGGTACTTACCCGAACTGACCCGTCTATTCGTGCAGCAGCCGAAGCTGCTGTGCATGGCCCTACCAAATTATATGTAAATCAACTGATTTACGTATAATTTTAATTAAGTTATTTTTTTATTATATCTGCAACAAAACACTCAATTGTAGGCTTGAATTGTCGGAAAGAGACAAACATTTGAAGGGAATTAAAATTTCTAGGAAAAAAAAGGAAGAAAAGTTTTTCGGCGCTGCGGGAATGAAACCCACGTCTTGCAGATTTGCGGCCAGATACTTTTACCTATGAAGCTAAACCGCTGATTACCACATTGATGAAAATCCCAACGTATTTTTATCTACATTTCGCACTTCAAGCAATGCTTGGCGCATCTATTTTTATCTCCGTTATAGCAGACAAACAATTTCAAGCATCCTTTTACAAAGATAATTCGAACGAGAGATATCGTATGTTTCATCTTAAGTGCAGAGATTAGTACTAGAAGTTTTTTACTGGAGCTTGCTTGCCGTAGATTACAGTAAATGAACTGTTAATAATGTCACTACAAATAGAGTTCTGCTTCTGTAAAGTTTTATTTGTGAGAACTTGATAAGGTATAAAGACAGTTTATTAATATCTTGTAGAACCACCAACATATAATATTTCATCACAAAATAAACACCAAACTTAATACTACTGACACTTTAATTAAATAAATTTCCAAAAACGTTTTTATGCACATACATATAAAATCCTAAATACCACGGTGTAATTAATAATTACTACAGTTTGGAAGGAAGTTATACGAAGATAATACGGAGCAGTTGATTATGTGATCACCGGTAAAATGAATACTTTAGCAATAGACAAGACGTTCTAACAATTTATTACCCGGCGGTGAGGAAAAATTTGTTAGACTCTGCTGATGACTTTCTTTACAGCTTCCTCGCCGGCGTAGTTCTTGCATAATACGAGTATGTGCAAAAATTTTACATTTTCTACACTTATTGCCGACGTGTTTTTGTATATGTGTTATTAATAGTAAATTCTCAATAACTCATTTCATGCACGTATTTACAGCCCAAGTCTGAATGATTTAAACAGTAATTTAATACATGATTAATAAAATTAATTATATCAATAAATTATGTAATATATGCTGTCATAGTATATGGACAAGTTAAACTGTCGTATTAGGGTAACCTGTAGATATAGTAAGTAATATAATAATGTAAGTGTTGAAAAAAATGAATAATAAATAAAAATAACAAAGGTCACGATTGCGACCATCCATTTAGCAGTGTCGATCATGATCCATCTTTATATATTTTCTTTAAAATGGATCAAGTTTATAATTTACTAGCGATCCAATGTGCAATGTAAATCTTCCTCTTGAATCACTCTATCTAGTAAAAAAAACAGCCTCAAGATCCGTTGCGTAGTTTTAAAGATCTAAACATACATAGGGACAGACAGACAGCGGGACGACTTTGTTTTATACTATGTAGTTACCGAAGAGCGCACAACATGCAGTTAAGTTTCAGTGGGTAGGTCAAGCAGCGACTAATCACCATAACGTTCACCTATCGAGGTCGATTACGTTGTCAAATTGGCTTCGCTGTTTGCCCAACTCCAAAATGGCATGATGATTGAATCTTCTCACGACCTGCTCACATTCCGTCTAGTGGGATGCCGTTTTCGTCCCTAAAGTTCAAGACAATAATAATCTTAAAAAATTGTGAAAATCTTTATAACTATAACTTCGATAACTTCTGCCATTTGTAACATTTGGATAACTGGTCATATATACCGGGCTATAATAATGTCTATATTTACTATAATAAAATGTCTATTTTTCACACAAAAAAGAAGTAAATTATCACACTAATTACAGGGATTATTGATCTATTTTAGATCACTTATAAAACTAATGCCACTAATGATTATAACATATGACGATACAAAAAAAGCGAAATTGCATATTCCAATAAAATTAAAATATTTACATATAAGCACAAAGTTAAATACGTAAAACGCGATAATAACGTATTTTGTATCTGTCACAACGCGGTTGTGACAATTTTAATGCAGAAACTGGAACACTCCCACACTGCGCGTACCTTAGGTGACAACATTGCTGGGTGATTAAAATATTTCACTGTTTTATGTCACAAGTTGCTAGTGCTACAGACTTGCGGCTTAATTATCTCACATGAAAATTTAATATCTATCGACTAAATATAATTTGAACTTGAAACTCCTTGTTAAAAGCGGGACCATTTTACCCTCGAAAGGAATTTCACGTATTGTATAGGTATATTTCATCATCATAATCATCATTGCTGCCTATTTGAGTCTTCCCGGTCTTCTCGATGAGTTTAGTAGACACCAATTTATGGACGCTTACATAAATAGTTGTCCGAGGGTCAATTCAAACACGTTCAAAAACAACTGCGCAAACTTAGCCAAGTTGTAAAGCATACAGTTATGGAAATCATTACAAATATTACGGGTACATCGTCTTAGGGTGATTACCAATGTAGAAGGTTGTTTAAAGTATCGTAAACGAAACTGCGGCTGGCCGAATCGTAAAATCGGACGTTGGGCATCTCTGCGGGTCAAACATAATGGTTCTCGATTGCATCAGTGCAACGTAACGTAGTGAATGTTGGTACAAGAGCGGTACTCGTAAGAAGCTCGACGGAGGTTAAACGCTGGTTCTCATGCGTGTGCTCGAGCGATGGGAATCGCAAAGTTATTCAATAGTCTAAACTGCGCTTTGCGTGTTTTAACACGCCATTTTATAGCGACCTTCAATGTAGGCTGATTATGAGAGTAATTGAGCTCATTTTTAGAAGATATAAACAATGCCAATTTATATTTAAAAGAAAAAACAACATCAAAAAGCTAGGTGGGTATACGCTCAGGTCATATTAAGAAAATATCTATATTTTGGGCATATTGTACGTACATGTATTGTTGTACCGTGGAAGCCCCGAGAATAGAAATCGAATCTTATTCAGTATAGAAATCGAACCTACAACCTCCAAGTTCGCAACGCAACAACTAGGGTAATAGATGCAAAAGTTATAAACAAATTAAAATAAATTAAAACAAAGACGGATTTCAGCTTGTCTTTTTTAAAAAGATGGGCAAAACGCCTTCACAAAAATTGCACGCAAAAGGAAAGGAAATAAAGCAAGAACATAATAAAGATATTGAGAAAGACATATTTTTATAACATCTTAAAAACATTATTAATTATTAAAATGGTATTCAATGATATGTCGGTGTATTGATGTAAGTAATTCAATAATAAATTGTAATTCGAACATCATTACGCACGCTTTTTTATCAGTTTATAATGACTAGATAGGATATGCATAAGAGAAGGGAAGTAGGTAAGGATTAGATATAATCAAACGCACGGCGACTCTTGCGCAACCGACATCGTTTGACGCAAGGTGCCTCAGCATCCTCGGCGAAAGGTCAACAGTAAGTTAGTTAAGCGATTAATAACACTGGTTTGATAACATTATACAAAAAAACCATAAATTCAAATTCAGTGACCTAACTATATACAAAAAACATAAAATTAAATATTTTCAAGTTAAGACAATCGTTGTTGAATGTTACTCGGAAATAAAATATTGTCTTCTGGAAACTAGCTCTTCTGATACACTTAGTCAGAATGATTAGATAATAAATACCATCTACTTTAAGGACTTTAGATTCATTATTATTTATAATAATAACCTAAGGAATAAGTAGTAACATACTTTCCAAGTCCGTGAGTTTAACAATTTTAAAGAGAATTTGATATGCAATAAAACATTGACTTATACTCGTAAAAAACTATGACGGCTGACTTCCAACAGTTCCGTACGATACCAACCCGCAAAATGGGAAAGAAGAAATAATGGTCGATACACGAATTATTATGTGTTTCCGTAATAAGCTGGATTGAAGAATTTTTAGAGTGTTCAGTTTTTAGTTTACTACGCCATTTCTCCGTATTTATTTGTAGTTCATTTCAATAACTGCGTGCTAAATGTTGATTAGATACATATTTAATCAATAATAAATAATTAAGTTGCTCTTTTTCAAAACGATTTTATTGATAATAACAACCTAAAACACAAAAATGTTGTTTAATTGTTTGATTGACCTGTCAACTTAAAGCTTTTGGATTACCAATATAAACATTAAATTAAATCAGACAAATATAAAATTTTAATCACCCAAAGATCCCTTTGTTTTTATTTAAAAGTAGACCTCCGATAATCACAGAATTTACGACTTAAGTCGACACAATACCACTTCCCAATTTTGGCAACGGCTATAATTTTCGATGTCATAAACAGCTGACTACTGCTATTATAGTGCAACAAAGAATCTCACAAACGCAAAGAGAAATAGACGACCTTTTCTTAGCGTAATGTATATTATGCAATGGACAATAAAGAAAGCCTGAACACAGTGCCATGACCCGTGATGTTCACGGCACAATTGAGGTATGGTTCTCGCAACTAAACTATCGAATGCAAAAGTTCTGTTTGTTTATGACACAAAGGGCCTAACTTGTCTTAATAGAATTGCTAGCAAAATACTTTCTTATATATCTTAAACAATTATTTAATTTGCCAGGCCCAATTGCTTAAAGATCTGTGAATGATCGATTAACGAAACTGTTAATTAGCAAATTTTACGCGAAAACATCGAAATCGCAGTTCGATACGTAACTCCTGCGTCGTAACGCATTGTGAGCGTTGCGAAAGAATTAGTTTTCGTCAATGGAAATTGTTAACCTATGTATCGACGTGGGGCAGTCACCGCAACGGATCTGTCAAGACGGTGACATAACGCGCTGTTGTGATGACTCAGACGAATAATGTACCGATCGTAGTATATTAGGTTGCTTTATTATACATGCGACAGTATCTATGAGTGTAACAATTAATAGGCATTTAAAAGTAAGGCTTTCCTAATCGAATGATACGTCTACTTATATACATAGAATCCAACAGTCTTATGATATTAATAAAAGAAATTTTGCTACTTATGTGACACCTAATACTTACGTCATTGGTTTAGCCACTTAAAATGGTGGAAAGTGGTTCAAGAGGAATATATTGCATTGTTATTTCATCAAAGCGATATAAATACATGCTCGAAAAGATTATCAAAACGGTATAAACAGGCTTTCGTAGGTCTCATGGTTGTTATTGTATTGATTGATTGGTAGTTGAACTGATAACCGACGAATATTATTATTATGCATATACAAGTTAGTGTTTTAATTTGGAAATTACTTTAAATTTACTTAATTAAATACAGCGTAATAAATAGAACTTTCAAACTAATACTAATAATTTATACGATTAAAACAAAGAATAACACAGCAGAGATAAATGAAGTAGAAACAAAAACTTTCTTCGCACATTTGCTGTTAACATAAAAAGTTTAACTAAACGTACAGACACGATGAAATTCGTGATGTTCCGTTTATTGTTTTGAGACAGACTCATAAAAAGTATCGTTACATTCGCGATGGAGGTGCAGCGTACTTTCTTTTGCTCTTTTCGGATTGTACTACATACTATGTAAGTTACATATTCTATTACGAATTTAATGCGTTTCATGTCTCTCAAACACTGATTAGCCAAATAGTAAAAAAAAAAAAAATACTGCGCGAAAAATATTAAAGAATATGCGTTATTTAAAATAGAATGTTATAACGCTTCGAAACAGTTCCCTCTTTTTCAGTTTAAAGTTTGCATCGTTGGGATCGCCAAAGATTAAAAGGAAATGTCATTTTAGGTTGAGGGCACGCAGCTATTAACGAATCGAAAGGACGAGAGTCATGAACGCCACGCGTGACCTTGGGATGCTCATCCGCTCACCAGCGGCCGCCAAGCCGGCCCAGATCACCCGGAGAGTGGACCGTGAGAAAAATCACTTATGCAAACGCTGGTCCGGGGGATCGATTATCGTGTGCGATCGGTGCCGCTGCGCCCTAATGGAAAGTGCATCGGTTGCATTGCGCAAGGCTCCGTTGCGATATCGCAGCGCCTCTCCACCCGAATGAGATGCGCACTCGCGTGTGCCGTTTACCCGATCCGCGGGACATCGCCATGGGCGTCCGAGCAGATTGCGACCGACAAAAACCCAACTCATTTGGATGAGGTTTCCAACATTCGAATTGGGTTAATTACGAAGAAGTCATTAATTCTCGACTAGCAGTTGTGTTGCGTTAAAGTGTGATTGGGACGACGTGTTTTTTACATATTAGCTCTGCATCAATATCTAAATAGGATGATAAATGCAAACAGCATATTAATAATGATAATTGAATTACAGAACATGGATTCAAACCAGGTCGCATCATCGGCAACCTCTATGTGTTTTACGTGACATTAATAAATACTATAATGTTAGCATTTCAAATAGAATGATAAAGAAAGCAAGGCGTGTTTGTTTATACGGGAACTTTGCATGCATTTCCGTATATGAGTGGAGCATTTTGAAACGTAACTTTTTCGTATTCTTTGAGTTTGTGTCGTCTGTTTAATATTGTGAAAAGAACCACGGACGGCTAGATTAGTAAAATTGATATTTAATATTATCTTGTTCTACAAAATGTTACACTTTACTTCAATACTTGTAATTTAGTTTTATATGTATTGTTATACATAACATGTAAAAGAAAATTACAAGTACCTATATTTATTTAACTTTAAATTACAAGTATGTTTATTTACTTATATAAGCAGTATTAATTTTTTAATCTAACTTTGTTTAGACTTATTGCAGTATAGTGAACAGAAAAATTAAGGCAACACAGTACACGTCTGTGTATTATAAATTATATATAAGCTTAATTTAATATTTCCTATATAGATAAAGAACAGTGTGATAAGGAAAGAACAAATAAATATACATAGATACCAACACAAAGCCTCAATTACGTCATTAAATTTATGATAATATCAAACAGCTTTATGTGTGATTACCATCACAACATCAATAAATCGGTATTGTTTTTATTTCTTTTACAAAACGTGCATCACATAATAGGTTAGGGATAAAAAAGTATTTTAAAATAGGTCAGGACAGGTTAGAAATAGAAAATTTATAAAATTCATCGTTTAACATAAAAGCGTTACTGATATCTATTATAATCATAAAAGTGTTTAATTATTTTAATTTCCCACGAGTCCGGACGTCCCCGAAATTAGTGAAACGCACGCGGCTGGTACCGATCACACGCAATCGGGACACGTAAGGCCCCTCACTGGGAATTTTCATGCACCGCTTTAATGAAATGAACACACGTGACGTTTCGTTCGAACACTCTATCCCTCACTGGATCGGCAGCCGATATATCACATCACTAGCTAGACTTACCGAATACGGGGAGTAGGGCCAGCACTATCCACAGGGGAGACATCTCGCCGCTCTGTGCGCCGCGTTGGGACTGGCGACCAAGGCGCGCGCGCCGCCCGCCCGCGCTTTGGTGGGGGGCGCTGAAAGCTCGCGGACGCCCGCCCGATATCGATAATAATTTATTGATGACTAGCGATCCGCACCAGCTACGCACGGGTGCAATGTATTATACATATAAATCTTCCCCTTGAATCACTCTATCTAGTAAAAATACCGCATCAAGATCCGTTGCGAAGTTTTAAAGATCTAAGCATACATAGGGACAGGCAGACAGCGGGAGGACTTTGTTTAATACTATGTAGTGAGACGTGAACTGCACACTGTTACAAACAAGCTTATCTCCGAGCTCATCATAGGCGCTTGTCAGATAGTCGTGATCCGCAGTGTAGGTGTATTTTTATGAGTCAAGTCCGTGGGTACTAATTTCGTAACCATCGTTTCAGCCTGTTTGGATCCACTGCTAAACTTAGGCCTTCACCATAGACTGCCACGAAACACAATCCTGAGCCACCCACATTCATCGACTTCCCGCACACTTGCACAGGTCGACACTCTATCTAGTGGGGGATCGTGCTACGATGGCCAATAGAAGGCTGCTACTCGAGAACCTTTCTTCCCCATCGGTTATCGGTCCTTTGAGTTTTACGGCCGGCTCTTTCCCGCTTCAGCTTACAAATCCTCTGAACTATGTCGGTTACCTTTGTTCTACTGCGTATGTTGTGGCCGTGCCGGCGTAAGAATAAGCCACCTTCTCTCGTCCCGTCGGTCTCATAAAAAGCAACTAAACTATAAACCACAAACATCTGGTTACCTCCGATAGATGACGCGATAACCATCTCCATTCTCCAGAGCCTAAGTATTGAGGCCAATAACGGGCGGCAGCGGGTGGCACAAGCAGAATTGCTTGTGCCACCCGCTTTCCAGGCGTGGCAACATGGCAACAATCCCCTTTATGATGGTTCTAATTTCATATTCGTTTATCCCAAGATTGCTTATGTTTTAAAAGATAATGTAATTAATTTGCGAAATTTAAACCAAAACCCTTTAGTATATATTTCCGATTGCCACCACTTACGTAATTTAATGAATAAATATAATACATTTATATTCATCAATACAGTCCGCTCACTAAGCAGAACCAAAACTATAGTAAATATATCGCAGTATATTTACAATAGTGTGCTTTTCTATTAGCTGTGAGAATAATAACATGAGCAAAGTTTATGTGAGTACAAAGCGCATGTTTATATGAAGTGCACTTGTGTCGTGAGGTACAAAACAAACATTTATGTCAACGCTTGCGAACTTTCTGGTATTGAGTAATAAGGACTTAGAACCTAACACGAAGTGCATTTAAACGTGACAATGGTGACACGTTTTACGAGAAAAAGTGCAAACAGAACATTTTTCATAGGGAATTGTCTATAGCTTCCTTGCTTCCTTATAGGTATAGCTTCCTTATAGGTATTTTCAAAATATTTCCAATATTATTTCACTGAATAGAAAATACTAGTATATTCTTCTACAAATCTCAATCAATCAATTGACAAGTGATTGAAATCTCAGAGTTTGGCATTAAAAAATTTAGCTTAACAATCTGCTTCCATATTGCGACTTCATTACCCAAAAAACTTTATGCACCCGAATTTTGACACCTTGTTAGTGGTTCAATGTTTGACTTTAACATTAATGATTAAAACTAAATACATTACGCTGTGGCGTTAAGGTAAATCTAGTAATGTGGAATGGTGCACTAATCTATTGAGCAACATCCTGCGCAGATAATTCACAGCTAGGAACAATGGTTAACAATATGCACTTTGCTGTAATGTGATTTTGTAAACTTCGAAATCATTAAGCAGAATTCGGTATCTATGTGGGTAAGATCGCTATTACAGTCCCACGCATATAGTTGGGCCATTTCCAAAAAGTATATATTCAGTGATATTCATTCTTACCCTTAAATATGAGTCCTAATATAAATCATTGTTGATGTTTTCAACTATTAGAAGACAAATAACTATAATATTAAATTCTTATCTATCGAGCATATGGTATACCTAATAGTAATAGGAGAGGTGAGTGATGGTGGCTCAGGGAGGAGACATCGATTTGCGATCTCAGGGATCGAATCCTCATTACAAATTATATATTAAAAGTATACCAAAAATTTTGACATGCAAACAAAGAAAAAAGAAATTGTTTATCATCATCAGCACTTATAGCTGACTAATCACGTGCTCAGCTCACGTAGAAAAATATCTTAAAGTAACCTGCATACTTTCGAGATAATAACAAAAATATTTACAAGATATGTGAAGTCTTCCAATCCGCAGTGGGCTTGCGTAGTGGACTATGCCCTAATAATATTATACCTTGGTCTTTACTTAGCAGTAGGAGCTAAGGTTGACTCTATGTTTAAGCCCTTAAAACTTAAATTATGTAAATAATAGGCCATACCGTAACGTAAGGTAAAAATTGTTTCATAAATGCAGATCCAGTAATATATGTGCAAGTATGGGCAGAATGGACGTACTGTTGCACGAATGGGCAGGCTCGTCCAGGGAAGTACCACGGCCTTTCAGAAGACCATTGTGAAGTCGAAGTATTTTTCTTTCGCGTTTGATGTGGTGAGTTTTGTAACCAGGACACACTTTTTAATGTTGGCAACGCAGATGACAGCGTCAGGTGTTGTAGATGTCCATGGACGACAGAGAACCACCTGAACGTTTGCTAACTTTTATTATTAAAAAAAAACATTTGTCTTCACTAGACCTTTGCTATAGAACTGTTAAAATTAAAGTTATGCTGACATGCAACATATATAGGACAACTAGACTTATGCCATTGTAATAAGATATTCGCACAATCCGAACTAATTTCTCAACGCGCCACACGTTGCGGTTATTGCCAATTGTCTATGTCTACAATGACATGAGAATCGACGTGACATTTCTAAATTCTTATTCACTATGTCAATAATTGCTTAATAATTGCTCACGACAAGTCAAACATTTTGACGTGAGCTTCTATTTTGGATGTTAGACCTAAGTGTCATAGTATTAGTATACAGAGCGATGTGTAATGAAGTTAAAAGTATTTTCTAAATGGACCGAAACGTCCATAACGCCCACATATCGCCTCATCTACAAATAGTAGAATGAAGCTAATTACATTGGAATAAAGCTAAATAGATCCACTTTTTACGCCGTTGTGTGTTCAAGCTTGAACTAACGCCGAAGCGGAAAATGGAGCGTGAACGGATATTGTACGATTCAACGCACGCAGTGTTAGTTACGTAAAAATTGCTCACGCGCTGCATCTATAAAATTAATTGACCGCAGTGACACTATAACATGTCTTTATGCCTTATCATATTTACTCGTATCAAAGAAAAATTGATTAGTGAATAGGATTATATTCCGTAAAAGGAAAGACAATGGTCAATAACCGTGCACAATGAGAAAATAAAAATAAACTTTAAAAGTCATCTTTCTTAATTAAGTAGTATTACAATTGTAATTTTTAAATAATTCTAAACGAATCGTAGTAACTAGTAAGCTAAAGATATTTACATTTTGAGGCAAGTAACACAGTGAAAGGATTTTTTGTTAAAAAGTGTCTTAAAAAACTTTTTTATAAAAACTCTTTTTGTTAATACATAATAATATTGTAAGCTGTAATTTGCGTTATTTAAGTATTTAATATTCAATTACTATTTTATCGTAATGGCGTTATAGATGTATCGCTATAAGGATTTGCTACATATACGAAACCAGGGCGAACAAGCTACTCGAAAATATGTTAGACTTTTAATATTACTCTCGATGAATTACATGTATTACTTACATTTTTAACCAAAGTATGTAGTAGCACTAGTAATAATGCGTCCGTTTTATCGGCCATGAATAGAATTGCATTATAGTAAGTGAAATTAAAATAACATAAATTTTATAGCTCTTCGATATTTATTTATATATTTTTTATAAATAATATAGCTGTTCGATAGTTTTATTGTGACGGTGATTATATAAATAGCCTACATTTGGGTCTTATTAAATTCATTTATGGCTGATAATGTCTGTAATTATCCGACAGCTTATAACTTTATTAGTTTTTCGATGGAGCAACTAAATTGTTCTAACTTCATTGTCTAAATTATTCCAGGGTGACCAAGGGCCCACGTTTTTTTACAGGACTTGCTCTTATCGTATTCAGATTTTCTTTAATTACAGAGAGGCCAATATTCAATTTACCACTGAAAGTACAATAACAGAATATATTAGGATGATGGTCTTTTCACTTTGACGACCTATTTCTCTTCATTATCATAGTAAATGTTTACAACCATATGACACTGGATACTAGAAGGCCGGTTTGCAAATAACTTGTGCTTACGCGATGTTTCATCATAGTACAGCCTCACTGACCCGTTGCTGTTACATCCGAGCAGGCTTCATTTACCATACAGCGCTGAGCCTTAACGAGTCACTTTCGTTTCTTTAACAATCCAAGCTCACCCTTACATAACGTAATCTCGATAAGATGAGATAAAGAATTTTTATGTCCACCGTACCGCTCCCGCTTGCTTCTAAAGAATTATATGTATGACGCAGCTGCCGTTGAAGTCTTTTCTATGGAACAGATATTAACATATTATAATTTTACGACCTGTATCATGTGCCAAAAGCTATGTCTGAAACTGCATTTCATAAATTTAATTCAATAATTTTTTTCAAATTGATAACTTAAATGTTTCAGTAGAAAAAACATAAAAACTTATTTTCTTTACGTATATAGTACCTATTCCGAATACGATGTATATTTTATCTTGGAATAACTAAGCAATTGTACGTTTCAATAGAACATAAGAAAATGATTAGTATTATCGTATAGAAGCTTCTAGTAGCCTACTTACCAAATTTAATTATTCTTATATAGATTGGTATCACTTTAATATAAAAATCTTTCAAGATTTAAGTTTTCAATAAATAAATTCCATAAGTTTGAGACTATTATTCAGCCGAATTTGCGCTTTGGAAACATGGAGTACTTTTCTCATTTCTGGGCTGGGGCGCCCCAATACAAGCTCTTTCCATGTGAACGCATCCAAAGTAGGGCTGCTCGAACCGTCGGGGACCAAGTCCTTTACAATCGTCTCAACTTGGCCTTGCGAAGAGATGTTTCATCTCTTTGCGTTTTTTATGTCTTCGTCTTCTCTTACTCGTTTGCCTCCTTTTCCATAAAATGGATATTAGGGATGAATTTGGTGATACAGTTACTGTATTTGAGATCCAGTAACAATTATTAAAACTTAAATTAACTGCCTACTGCATGGGAAAATATACGTTGTATTTTAATATTTTTATATCATAATTACTTTCATTGTAAAAGAAACCAGAGGGCTATAAAGTATTCCATTAAGATATTGTTTAAGAAATACACGATTTTAAGGTTCATTTTAGTTTTCATGTAAAGTAAAGGAAGTAGATACACTTCTCCAATAACAAAAAATCACGATGTAAGGTCTAATTTTATAGGCGATTAATACAACTCTTCGACTGATATTACTTAGTACAGTTGAAATTATCAAAACTATGAAATTATGAGCATCCTTGTGAAACAAAACCACCCATTTTTGCTGATAACTAAGCTCATTTCGCGATGCATGAAGAATTTAAACTAACTAATTAATTCACTAGAAGAGATCGGACTGCCATAAATACCCCCAATACATTTGTACATACTTGATATACCAAATGTGTGAGATGA